GTGCATTTGAAGTGGAATTCATTTTAAGTTTTTGCATTCAAAATATCATCAACTTATCATTAAATTCTGTTCAAATTCGATAAAACTTATGTTAGAAAATGGTAAGACAAAAATATCAGTTACAAATTTTACAAATATAATGTAGATGGAATTTGGTTATTACCTAATGTAGTTATCAAACATATTTGCATTTATTTCTGTTTATTTGATTTTTTAACAATATTTTCAAATTTTTGACCTAATTATAATCTTTATTTTTCATAATTTTTTTTGGTTTTTAACTCAATCTGGGGTGTTTAGTATTATGTTTTCAAGATGTCGTAGACCAGTGTACTGAGAAGTGTGCGTGCTCAAAGGCAAATTTTGGTGTTTAGGAAGGTTACTTCGGCTTTAGAGATTGCGATGTAGACTTACATGCCCATCTCGAAAATTAACTGTATGAGACCACGATATACCTGGTCTGAATTTATATAGCGTGCATTTATCCATGGAGGATGCTGTAGAACCCTAATCCTTATAGGTATAGTGATTAAAATAGAGGATTTGTATGAGTTCACTCGTTGTGACCAGCAGCAAGACGAGGTGTTAAAAGCATTTGCAAATGAAATGAGAAGAAATGAGCATATGATAAAAAAAAAACTCGATTCTTTGTGAAAACTAAATGTTATATTTTTGATGAAAATAGTGCTGATGCGAAAAAACGGATGTTAATATAATGCTGATGCGAAAATAATGCATTAAACTTAAAAAAATGGGTGTATGGGAGTATTTGTATATGTACCTTAACACCCCCATCCCCCCATTTTGGAGGGAAGACAGCTGAACTCATCTGAATATAGACTGTTTACGTACTCCTTGCAGAGATCAAAGCGTCATGTAGTTCATGGCTGGTTTAGCTTAGTGATTGTTCCGTTTGATTGACGGTACCATGTTAAAGCAGTTTTGGGATCCTCCTGTTTTTATTATTCTCTGGAGACCTGGCTGTGCTTCCTCGTCATCTTTCCTTCCTTGCTTAGAGGCATTACCTTTGTTCAATTAGTTAGGTTGTTTAGTCACCAAGTTCTCTAGCTAAAATGTTGGTTGTAAGCTTTGCGCCTAATTAGCTTCGACAGTTTTTCATTAGATGTCCGAGTGGTGATGTTCTCAGTAGGATGTCTTGTCATAATTATTGCAGTTCATCGTCCATGTGTGTCACAGAACATCCAGCACCCCGTTTCTACTAGGTAGTTACGAGCACCGCCGAACTCGGGTTCTTTATGGTGTATGTACCCATTGTTATGAGTATTTCATCTAAGGTGTGGTGTCGTGGTGGCATTCTGGATTCTCGTCTTTGCCGCCTTGTATCTTTCATCTGAGATCTTCATCTCCTCTTTTTACTTCATCTCGGTGCAAGGCATCTTGGATCATCAAGGACGTATTCAGTGTCATCTCCTTTTTGAAATCTGATTTGTACCATAGCTACCTTTTCAACGCTTCAAGGGCGGCTTTATTAATTACGCTTTCTACCTTTGATACAACTACTTTGAATCATCCCATGTAATCCCTCAGAGGCTGGGTTAGTCCTTAAGACAATGTACACAAGTCGGCATCAGAGGTTCCTTAATCAATGAACATAGAGTATTGCTTTAGGAACAAGGGGGAGAGCTGCTGAAATTTGTTAACTTAGTTATGGTCAAGTCTTGAGAATCACTCGAGGGCTTCTCCTTTGAGATGCTCGATGAATAGAAAGCAAAAACTGGCATCTTTCTCTTTTTCTTTAAGGTTTGCGGCATCTTTAGAGAAGGTTCGTCCTGCAATACAGAAAGCAGTTATATCCTCTCGGGTCAAATTCGTAGAATGGGATCCTAATCTTTCCCAAATCAAGGAATATCTAGCCCTCGTGATTCGAACTGTGAAGGGTGCCCTCTGTGTTTTTTCAAGCATGCGGTCTATTTACGGATCTGTGCTGGTCGCATTGTGCACTTGAGATCTCATAGCCTTCATCTCGACAACAGTTCAAGCATGGAGACTCGGAGCATCTCCAGCTCATCCGCATGGGTTTGAGACTCCTGGCTTACCGATTTGGTTTTGGCTCGCCTTTCTTAGCTCATCGTCATAGTACGCCTATTGAGCCCATCGAAGATTTTCTTCTTCTTTTGTCAGATTCCTTTCTCAGACTGAGTCGAGATCTCCACCAGTCCCCACTCAGTCTAGAGACAAGGTGAGCTCACCTTCGGTGATGTGTCTCACCGATCGATTATGTGGCAAGGTGTTATCTCCTTTGCCGCTAGTCTCCTCGTCGAGAACGATCATATTGTCTGCGTGTGTTCTTGCTCCATCTTCAGTTGGTATATTTCTTCTGTCTCCCAGTCTTCTAGCTCCTTGGCGAAGGGGAGGTGGCTCGGTCAAGTTGGGCCTCATCGCTGTTGATGTTTGCTTGTTGAGTAGATGCAACAACTTCGGTTCTCTAGGAATCCTCAAAATGCCTTTGGTTATCCAATGGATGTTGAAAAATTGAACCGCCTTCTGATTCCATCAGATAGATCTCCCGCCAGGCTGGGATTTCCATGGGGCAGACTTTGGGTTTGGATCTCTGTTGTCAGTGTCTTGAGCCTCTCTGCCAGTGAATCGTTTCGCTTGTCCTGCTCAATCCTCTTCATCAGCAAGGTTAACATGTTTTTCACCTTGTCCAACTGCTCCGCGGTTGATTTTGTGTTTGTTAGGGGAGGATCCTTCTCTCTGAGGGGATTGTTGTCATCTCTCGGTTAGTCGGTAGCTATGTTCTTCAGATCTCATGTTCACAGCAATTCTTTAAGTAAGAAAATTTTGAGTCTCCCTAGTCAGGTCCAAATTGTGTGAACCAAAAATTGCACAATCAAAACTTGTTAAGAATTTCTTATAGGGAATCAAACCTTCTAAGAACGAATCTCAAGAACAAAGATCCAAAGATGTTTTTATTGCTGTTTGAGAAAAGCTCTTAATATAAGAATTTTTTGTGTGTAATGCTCTAGTTGCTAAAGAAGCGTTAATGAATACACTAATCTAGTATTTATACAAGTTTAGTAAACCACCTAGGTGAGAATCTCAAGAGTTAGTTTTGGAAGATTTCCATTTATCTCTATGCGGCTGCCGACTTGAATTTCTCCTAGCGCGAATAATGACTTAGTTTTTCTAATATGTCTTTAACTCGGCTCATTACATTTGGCTCGTAAAGACCTCACCATACAAGTCTTGTTAGTTTAGTAAAATTTGTTTAAACATTATCTACTGCCTCATTAATACAAATAGTTACTAAACTAACAAGACTTGTCAGTTTTTGCAGCAAATTAAGCGAACTTGAAAATCTTTGTAATATTTTCCAAAACGTCAACGTTGTTGTTTTTGAACCGGAACCACAAATAAATAAGCTAAGTACATCAGTGTCTTTCTGATTACATAATGATAAATTTCGTATCAATAAATGTATTTATTTGTGATAAGAAAAAAAAATGATTACTCTCCTACAGACATATAGCACACATGTTTTTATTGTTCCTTTTACATATTATTTTATTTAATTTTGAAATGTATTTCGGATTCGAAAGATATACTCCTTCTGTTCAGAATTATTTGATGTTTAAGGTTTTTGTACACAGTTTAAAAATTCATTTAGTTTTTATTTTTTCTATACTAAAAATATTATTTATAATCCATTTAAATATCATTTAGCCAGAAGACAATCTGCAAAATATAAAAGGTCAAAAACTATAAAAATTTATTATATTTTACATTGAAAAGTGAGAACATCAAATAATTCTGAACAAAAAAAATCTTCTAAAACATCAAAAAATAATTCTAAACAGAGTATTATTTAAGGAAAATTTATTAAGTGTGGATGCTTTTGAAGCTTTCGCGAAAGGCCCATCATTAATTGAAGTTTTTCCCATGTCTCGTGTGAACTAAAATCTCAAGAGTATCAAAAAATAATATACCAATTATCTTCTGTTTCACGGTGGAAAGTCGAAAACCAAAGATACAGATTCCTTGGTCAACATTTGCTTACTAAAAACTAGACATGTTGGAATCAATCAACTTTATTTCTTTTTTACCATTGTTTTCGCTTTGATTGTAATTGCGTCTATTTTATAATTATAACTTTCGAATATAAAATCTATAAAGACTTTTAATACTGAGTGACTAAAAATTAAAGACCAAAATAGCATGGTATATGTTTCATTAAAAGCTGTTATAGTAAAAAAAAGATATTTAAGTAAAAATTGAAGGAATTAATTAGTTGGTACTATAGTAATAGTAAATTATCAATAAGAAAATTCAACGCGTTGATTGAATTCAAAATCCTCAAGATAGTACCAAACTACCAACAACATAATCGGCTATGACTTCGAAATATTTTTTTTCTTCTTAAGTTCAAAATACTTATAAATGTAACAAAATGAAAAAGAACTACGATATATAGCGTAAATACTTGACGACATGTAATTTATATACTTTAACTGAAAAACAAATGAAAAGTAAATAATTTGGGCAAAATAGAACTCAATCTTTTGTCACTTTGACATCCGATTAAATTAAAATGATACACAATGACTCAGCACAACTTTTTATGTTGCAAAAAAAAAAGAAAGAACTTTTTATTGACAAAAAATTCCATCTCTTTTGAGCAAAGACAACAAGAAATTTCAATCTCAAAACAAATAAAATGATAAAATCCCAACAATACAGATTTTAAGTACGGAGATAATTCCATGTGATTTATTTGGATGTGATACAATATTTTTTCCCGAACACACAGATCTTATCTACACCGATATAGTAGATGAAAATTTTTAATTCCATTTTATTTATTTATTTTTATTCACAATTTCACATGTACACTAGCAAACAAAACTGAAAGACTTTGCAATTTGCATTATAAAAAAAACTCGTCAAGCTGTAATTTGAAAAGTCAACCCTAGGCCCCTAAAAGCTTCAACATCAGTTTTTATATAAACAGAGAAGAAAAACACTTTCTTTTTAGAAAAACACTTTCGTCCTCTGCCTCTCTCCTTTTTCCAATCTCTCTCACCATTCTCTCAAATATGTCGGGAGCATTATCTTGTTCCGCTTCCGATCTGGCCGTCTTGTTAGGCCCTAATGCCACGGCGGCGGCTGACTACATCTGCGGCCAACTTGGCACCGTGAACAACAAATTCACAGACGTCGCTTTCGCTGTAGACAACACATACCTTCTCTTCTCCGCTTACCTCGTCTTCTCGATGCAACTCGGCTTCGCTATGCTCTGCGCTGGCTCCGTTCGAGCCAAGAACACGATGAACATCATGCTCACAAACGTTCTTGACGCTGCAGCTGGAGGTCTCTTCTACTATCTATTCGGTTACGCTTTTGCCTTTGGATCTCCGTCGAACGGTTTCATCGGTAAACAAAACTTCGGTCTCAAAGATTTCCCCACGGTGACCAATGATTACTCATTTTTCCTCTACCAATGGGCCTTCGCTATAGCCGCCGCCGGAATCACCAGTGGCTCGATCGCTGAACGGACTCAGTTTGTTGCTTATCTGATCTATTCATCTTTCTTAACCGGATTTGTCTACCCGGTTGTCTCTCACTGGTTCTGGTCACCTGACGGTTGGGCCAGCCCATTCCGAACTGATGGTGATTTGCTTTTCAGCACTGGAGCAATCGATTTCGCTGGCTCAGGTGTCGTTCATATGGTCGGAGGCATCGCTGGTCTCTGGGGTGCGTTAATCGAAGGTCCAAGACTAGGTCGGTTCGATAATAACGGTGGCCGAGCCATCGCTTTAAGAGGCCACTCGGCGTCACTTGTTGTCCTGGGAACATTCCTCCTCTGGTTTGGATGGTATGGATTCAACCCTGGTTCATTCAACAAGATACTTGTGGCGTACGAATCAGGCTCGATAAACGGCCAGTGGAGCGCGGTTGGACGGACGGCCGTCACTACGACGCTTGCTGGTTGCACGGCTGCGCTCACAACCCTCTTTGGGAAACGTCTGCTCTCGGGACACTGGAACGTAACGGACGTATGCAACGGCCTACTCGGAGGATTTGCAGCTATAACAGGGGGCTGCTCAGTCGTTGAGCCGTGGGCTGCGATCATATGCGGCTTTGTGGCGGCCCTCGTCCTCCTCGGGTGCAACAAGCTTGCAGAGAAGCTCAGATACGACGACCCGCTTGAGGCAGCGCAGCTACACGGAGGGTGCGGAGCGTGGGGGCTAATATTCACAGGGCTTTTCGCTAAAGAAAAGTATTTGAATCAGATTTACGGCGCGAAGCCCGGAAGGCCTCATGGTTTGTTCATGGGCGGTGGAGGAAAACTGCTTGGAGCTCAGATGATTCAAATACTTGTTATCACAGGTTGGGTGAGTGCCACAATGGGAACGCTTTTCTTTATCCTCAAGAAAATGAAACTGTTGCGGATATCCGCAGAGGATGAGATGGCCGGTATGGATATGACCAGGCACGGTGGTTTTGCTTATATGTACTTTGACGATGATGAGTCTCACAAAGCAATTCAGCTTAGGAAAGTTGAGCCTCGATCTCCTTCACCTTCTGGTGTTACTACCACTCCTGTTTGATTTGGATTTTTAGTGTTTTAGTGAGAATTAATGATGCTCTTAGTATTGTTTTGAATGGTTTTTTGCATTTTCATAATGTTTTAGATGTACAGTTTTTGTGGGTTGTGATTATTATTATATTATCTCTGTGGCCGTTTGTGTTCTCTTTAGAGTTTGGTTCCGTTTTTGTTTTTACAATATATATAACCATTTTACTCGCAGCATATAATCAGAGATGACAGTGGCTGAATCATGTGTAAGCGAGCCTCAACTACTATGTTTAATTATTTACTTAGGTGTTATTCTGAATTTAAAATGAATTTTCTAGGTTTTATAATCTTCTAGATTTAAAATTTGATATCAGTTCTATGAATTCATTTGTTTAGATTTTGAAATCTCTGCAATATACATTAGATTTTGATTCTAATAATTTACTCATAAAACTTAACTGGAATTGATTTGAAATGACTTAATATACAAAGATTTTAAAAGTCCTTTAGTTTTGAATAATACTAGATTTTTGTGAAAGATTTGAAATCTTCATTGAATAACACTAACTTTAAAATCTCCTAAACATGATTTACAATGAAGAGATCCAATAACATTGGATTTTTAAATATTATTTAGAATCATTAGTTGAATAATAATAGATTATGGTTGGATTTAAATTCTATTAGAAAACCTGATTGAATAACACCCCCTTAGAAATAAATTCCATGGCTTACATCACCTTCAAATGTTGTCAACTTGCAGCAGAACTTGAGGTGTTTTGCTAAAGCCGATCACGAAACTCAAATTTCATTTGTCACAAATTCAGTAGACGTTTTTTAAAAACAAATATTTTTAACATTATTTATTTGTTTTCTTCACGAATTTATGTTTCTATTACTTCAGCATTATATAGTTAACTCAATAACTTTCAAGATTCGTATCTCAAGATTCAGAGTATCCCAATCCTATTAACAAACATGATTTGCACGAAGAGATCACAAATTTCTCGGAACCGCTGTGATACTTTTGCCTGTATAAAAGGTATTTCCGTACATGTATGAAAAACATAGGGGTAACGGAGTCTTTTCCAACAAGATGGAAGCATGATATGAGGCTGGATCTCGTACAAGTTGGATACAAGACAGAATTGTTTAAGCTCCAAATTAAAAATTAGTAATGCTAAATATGAAAAGGTGAAGAAGCTCTATATTTCTTTGTATTTTTATTTTTTAGTTACCAACTACCATCTTCTTTCTTTAATCTTTTGATCGCGACTAGTTTCTCCTTCACATACCACTTTACAAGTTTTAAGGAATTAAAATGGCCCAACAATTTGATGGACATATCATATATACACTAAATGAAAAATTGACTGGATGGCCACGGTTCTCGGAAATAAACTGCATGGAAATTTCACTTAATTAGGTACATACATTTCAACATTTTGAGGATTATGTGTATTCTTCTTTCTTCTAAATTTTGGAAAATTTTGGAACGACTTCGTGATTCCTCCATGGTTGTTTAGTATTCTGAAGATTTTTAATTTGTATATCTTGCTTCTTTTTTTCTAAAATTTTTAGCAGAGCAATTCTCAAAAATAGCTCCAAAAAAGTAATTGTACTCCAAAAAAATCCTTCTTTTCTACTATGACCAAATTAGCATTCACCAAACTATACACGATTATAAATTATGTTTAGGGGATTTTCAGTCCTTTCATATGGGCAAGTCTCCTTCAAAACAGAAAACGTTCACTGGCCCGGAAAACACGATAAGAGTTTGTTTTCTAGAGGCACTCCGACGCTCAAGTCAGAAAACAATCTCAAAAAATGACCATAGAGTTAAGGTCGGAGAGCAGAAAGATATCGGAAAACTATTAGTTAGGAAAGTGGGCCGAGAGTCTCTGAGAAAAGTGAGATATGCTCGTACCTGGAAGGAAAATGGGATTTTTGAGTGGAAAGAGACGAAAGTGGAAAAGTCTGGTAAGAGAACTCCACATTTTAGGAACCACCATGGAGGAGAACGAAAGTAAAATGTAAGTGCAAAGTGAATGGGTGAAGCGAGATGACCGGAAATATGGTTGGAAGACTGGGAAATGCCTCAACTCAAGAGCCACAAGTATCTACAGAGATATCGTGAGACTTGAGATGGCAAAAAGTGTGAACTTCTTTCCCGTTGGAAAGGGAAAAATATTTATAGAGATTTACCTGGCCCGGGTTAGTATACCGGATTGGCCCTTTATTTGTGAATCGGTGGGTCGGTCCACGACCAGACTTGTCTGAGCCCGAATCTTGTGATTGCGTCATGCTCTTAGGATATCACCAACTTTTCTTGGCGAGGTCTGTCTGCGACGAGACCATCCTCTGGCGCGTCTCTTTCACCCTCAAAGTACGAGCTTGGTCGGCGTCTTAGACGCGGTATGACTCTTTGTTGAACCTCTGTGTTCCCCCTGGCTCCTGTGTAGGGTCATTGTCACCTGACGCGTAAGGAAAACGCATTATATGCCGTTCTGGGGGCTTGTAAAAGGATGTATAATCAGATCAGACAAATGACATATTCTTATTGTTATATAGAGAGAAATTCGAATAGTGTTCCCGCCTAAATAATTTTTCCTTACCTGGCTCGGATCCCTCGATACTAGAATTAGGCTGCCGCAGAGGGTGGTCCTTGCTCTCCGTGTACTTGTGCGGACCAGTCTTCCTTACATCTCGACCCTTCCGGATCACCGAGCTTAGGTCTAGGATATAGGGAATCTAGCCTCTCCTCCTCCTGACCACTCAATTTCCGCGGCCTACACTGCCAAACACGAAGGATCCGGGAACAGGTGGCCTATCATGTAGGATCTCTCGAATCCAATTTGGGTTTGAGGCCTGGTGCTATAAGGTTAGGCTGTATTGGGCCAGAGGCCCAATACGTGTCCTAATTTGGCCCAGGGGGCTGTATCTGCAAAAAAGCTATGGACGCCACGTGCAAGCATGTAATTCGTCCATGAGGAAGGGTTGAATTTATTCCCAACAGACTACCTTCTTTCTGACAAACTTGTAAAAAATCACAAACCTCTTAAAAACTTTCTTTGGTCGCCACTGTCATTGGAATTTCACAGGTGTTTGAAATCATTGGCGGAGTTACTGAATCTTCACTCTGGATATCGAGGTAATTTATTACCTCTCTTTGTCTCCATCAAACAATTCTTCAACTTATTTGAAACCTAAATCAAAATTTCAAGGAATTCAAAGCATTTATCATTGTCTATGGCTTTGAGTCAAAGATATTTAAAAAGCATTGATTATTTCTGGAAGGGCTATTTGGGATTTGATGTGAAGAATAAACTTCAAGTTTTAGGTTTTGGTGGGAATTTTGAAAACTTTCGTGCTCAAGCTATAGGTTCTCAACAATAATCTGTTTTTCTTGCATCCTAAATTATTTTGGAACCATTTCCAAACTATAGAATGTCAGAGGTTTGAAACTCAGATCTGAATTTTCAATTCGGAACAGCCTCCCTAATATTCAGGAATGATTCGTAATAGTTAAAGAATGTCTTCCTGAATCGTTAGACCTTCAGGAAGACATTTAAATGTTTATGTATTTGTTGTTTTATAGATAATCAAGTCTCATTAGTTTGTTTTAATCTTTCTATCATCGACTTCTATGACAATTAAATTATACATGTTATATATGTACAAACATGGACAAGTCTTTCTCTAAGAAATTTATTACAATAATTTTAGGAAACCCTTCCTAAAACATTAAGAACCTTTACTGAATTTTCAATTCAGGAAAGCCTTCTTAACTGTCAGGAATGATTCATAATAGTTTAGGAGACTTCGTGAATATTAAACCTCAAAGATCAAGTTTTAAATGTCTCTTAAATATTTTGAATGTATGTATTTGTTGTTTAACAAACTTTTTCTCTTGATTTAATCAGATCTAAGATGTTTTGCGATGTATGAAGATGATTGAATGTCATCAAGAACCAAGTAGGCTTGCGATGGTTTTGAAGACTATGCCGATTCAGACCAAAAATGAGTTGTTTATATTTTAATTTCTGAAATCTTAGGCTTATAAACTTGTGTTTGTGCTGGTATGAGGATGTTTATGTTTTATTTTCTGTTTTATCAAAAGACTCTTGAATTTTCAGACATGTGTGTTGCTGACAATTTGACAAGGAGAAGCCGTTTTATGTTATTTGAATGTTAAGTTTTTAGATGTCAAGTAATTCACATACGTTCCAAGAAAGCATTGCAGAATATTCAAAAAAAAACTGAATTTAGGAATGTATCATACATATTTAGAAAGGTCTTCCAAAATACATACAAATTGACTAATTAGAATTTGTTAGCTAAAGCTATGAGTTACTTTACCAATATGACATCATTGCAGATTTTTGAGTGACGGCTTTGTAAATGTATAAACAGACACAAAATTTGTCATTTATATGTTTAAAGAATGTTTTCCTAAATGTATAGGTTTTCTAAAACATATGAAAAGCTTCATATGTACTCTTTGGGTCCTAAGTATGTCATATCTATTATACTTGTGTGATTGAGATTTTGAAAAGACCTTCAAACAGAGAAAACATCAAGAGTTACAACTCATAAATAAATCAAAAGTTACAAATTATTTATTACAGTTCACAAAAAAATAAAGATGCATTGCATGATTAAAAACTTGATTTCAGAAGAAAAAAAAAAACACAAGAGTTTTCTGAAATTTAAGAAAGCGTTAGTACATAATTAGGAAGACAATCATGAATTGCCCTGAAACAAGAACAAGCTGCAAAATACATACTCAAAGCTAGATTTGCGAGAAAATAAATCAAATCGAAAAATATAGCAGTTAAAGAAGAAACCTGCGATCGTGAGACCTGACGATAGATGGATTGTCGATGACTCTGATCGATGACTCTCAAAGCTAATGGATTGTCGATAAGGTGCTTGAATCTTAAAAATTATCTATTCTAGGCAATTTTCAACAAAATAAAAACTATAGATCAAGATAATCTCTAAGAAATTCAATTGCCAGAGATAATGATGGATGAGAAGTCGTCAATGATGGATGAGCTGAAATCCCACATCTCTATTTGCCGATAACATCATTCAATTCAAAACCCAGAATAATGGGTTAATTTGTTTTTTTTTTTTGTATTTTAACTCCTTTCAATTTAAATGAATGCTAGTTTGGTCCTTTCCAAAATGAGGAGCTATTTTTGTTAATTTTTACTTTCTTGGAGCTATTTTTATTTTCTCTTTTTATAAAATAATT